AGGGAGAGAGGGTCACAACAGCTCTGCCCTCTATTGCCTTGCAGTGAGGGAGATGGTATATTGCTATTCAAAAGAATCTGGTCCCATGCCCTAAGGGTGTGTACATACCCCCAGTGGGATCCACCCTGCTATATACTTGACCTAGTACATATTAGATGCTTCTAAGGCCCCATCACCTTCTACTAATCTGAGCACTTTATAGTCTGTAATGAATTTGGTTTCACAGCCCTCCAAAGAAGCAGGGAGCTACTAGACCAGCATTTCTCAACCTGTGGATCGCGACCCAAAAGTGGGTCACATGAATATATGAAAGGGTTGTGAACAAACTTGAAAAATGGATTCTTCTTTAAAAGAGAAAAACATAGGAAACTGTGGCTCTTCCCTTGCAGGATGGCAGAGGCTCCAGGGGTCAGGAATGAGCACTGGGTTGAGACTAGCCAATGATATATACAAATGGGTCCTCGTACAAACAAGGTTGAGAACCACTGTATTAGACCATTTTACTCTGTATAACAAAAACAGCCAGTTCTGTAAAACTGAGAGGGAGATCAGAACAGAAAAAAATACAGTATTCAAAGATGTATGCCAGGGTTTCTATATCACCAGTGCCTAAATCCAACCCTGGTAACAAAAGAGTACTTTCTGCTTTCTACAGAAAAGTGTTTCTGGATTCTACAGCACACTTCACACCATCTCAAAAGGAAAGAATCAGCCTTGAATTTTTGCTTTCAACTGTTTGCTCCATATATCAAAAGCCACAATCATAAGCTGCTGAAGAAATCAAGCTAAAGAAAATGCAGTTTGGACTAAGTGGGCTCCCTCCTTATTCCTGGAGATTTTTATTATCCTCAGCAAAAATGGGGGGAAGTAAGGAAGAAAAATTCAACAGTATATGTTATTTCTTTTCAAGTTCTGTTTTAGGAGAGCACTAAGAATTAATCTGTGATCATAGAAACAGCTAAGAGAGATTCTTCTAATAATTCAGCTTTAATAGGCTGTGACTTTATTAAGTAGCTGCAAAATTTTAAATGTACGTTATTTATATTAACCTATGCTCAATGTTTGAAACAATAGAAACATTCAGGATTTGCATTTAACTATCACCACTGACAGAGTGGAAGAATTACATAATATTTCATATAATGTTATACATTTAATTTTGATTGTGTGCTGTGGTATAGACTCCATTATCAGCTTGATGCTTGGTCCAGTACATTTTTGTGTGAATTTCAACTGAATTTGGATATAGCTTCAAATGCAGACTACATGAGCATAGACAAGTTTTTACTTTTTATCCTTCAGAAGTGCAAACTATATGAAATTACTTTTCAGTTTTACTTTAGAACAGAAAGGGTTAATCTGTTGTTGTTTATAGAGATTTAGACATGATAAATTAGCCACTAGATGGCTCCTTTGGTGTTTCTTGAATGAGAGAAACCTGTTGAAAAGTACAGGGAAATTCAACAGAAAAATCAAATATAATACCTGAGATCAAGTGAAGTCACTGACTTAGTTCATAGCAAAATCCCCATTTACACAAAATGTAATTACAATAATTTCATTAAGTGTTGAGTAATGACAATGGAGATAAAGCACTGAAAAATAGTCAGAACACACTAAAAACACACTAAAAATGCCAAGCAAATTAGAAGAATATCAGTGTTGCTCCTTCCCTATGATTTGAATATACTAACTTTGTAAGATAAAGAAAAGATATTTTAATTGTACACACAAAGCAATGAGGACTTAGGAACTGATAGAGTCAAGCTAAAGAAAACACAGTTTGGGGTTAGCTGGGCTCTCTCCGTATTTCCATTTGCTTATATTCTTTGTGCAGATTTCTGAATACCAGAAGGAGAGGGAATCCAATTGTACTTGGAATTGTTTTTCTTTTTTTCACACTTTTGTGCTGCAATGTATATAAGCTTATAATTAACATGTACTGAGATTCGAAGGAAATACTTTACAATGATAACATGCTGAAAACTGCAATGAAAATTCATTTAAAAATCAAGTTCAAGAGCTTCTGAGTTCATACTTGGGTCTCTTCATACACACAAGTGCACATGCACCCACATGCAAAATATCACATACTTTCAATTTAGGTTTTTCAATAAAATGGGACAGTGCAAAAGACTATACATATTCAGTTTTTGCACATAACTAGTTATTGTTCCAGTTCTTTCGGATCAGAAAGCATAGTGTTTGTATCTCAAATGTTATTGTGATGCTCCAATACAAATATTATGATGCTATACATGCTATACAAATAGTGCAACATTAAAACAGCTGCATAAGAACGCCAAACTGGAAGGGGCCTCCTGGATCGTTGAGTACAGTCTTTTTCTAGAACAGGCAGCTACACCATATAACACTTTTTATTAATTGATTAATCTCCATCTTAAAAGTAATTAAGTTTTTTGCCTTTACTATGCCTATTGGAAAGCTTTTGTAAATCCTCACTACTCTGGTAGTTTCACATTTTCTTCTAATTCCCAGGTTAAGTTTATTCATGCCAGGTCATACTGTTCTGTTGCTCACTTTACACAACTATTCCCACTAAAGTCAATGGGACTGCTAGTCCAATAAGTAAATCAAGGCAAAAATGGGTGAAATTTGTCCACTTCTTTCTTTTTGGAAGTGCTAGTTCTTCAACCCCTGATTTTATCTTTATATGCCTCCTTAAATTGCATACCTATTACAATTATTTTGTTTAATGGGCTATTTATGATTGAGACTTATGCTAAAACAAGGAAGATATAAAGAGCTATAACATTTTCAGAGCTATGCCTTGTTAAGACCAACCCTACAGATACAGAAACAGCAGTGCTTTTTCCAATTTAATTCAAGTCATTCAGACGGCTGTCAGTGTAAGGTCATCGGTATAGACAATCACACTTCAGTCAATCAAACTTTTACTATAGTAGAAACTTCATCATTACACTCTGCTCTGACCATGTGAAAAGATGCGTTTATAGAATTTAAGGCTGGAAAGAACCATTAGATCATTTGGTCTGACAACCTGTATATCACAGGTGATTAAACATCACCTAATTAATCTACTCAGCACAGTAACTTGTGTTTGACTAAAGCAGATCCTCCAGAAAAGCACCCAATGCTGCTCTGAAACATCCAGAAACAGAAAACTCACCAATTCTTTGGCAGTTTATGAATAATCCAGTGGTTGTCCATGGTTAACCCAATGGTTAATCAGGCTCAATATGACAAGAGTGCATTATTTCCTATTTACATCTAGTTTCTGCTTCCACCACAGGTTCTTATCACACGTGTCTGCTCTATATTAGAGAACCCTTTGTTACCCAATATTCTCTCCCTCTGGGGGGACTGATTCTTTGTGAATAGCTCTTCAACCTTCTTCTCAATAACCTAATTGCTCTAATTAGCTCCAATTTCTCACAGTGTGGCATCTTCTTCAACTCTCCAGTCAGTTTTGTGGCTGTTTTCTGCACCCTTTCCAAACTGCGAAAAGCCTTATCAAATTATAGACACTGGAACTGGACACAGCATTCCAGTACCAGTATTACTCTTTAGGTGCCCACAGATCTCATTAGCCCTTTTTTGGCCCAGCAGTATAATAATGCAAGCTCATGTTGAACTGCTTGTCCAAAATGACCATTCAATCCTATTCCAGAGTTACAGGTTTACAAGATACATCCCCACATTATGCAAGTATGGCTTGCATTCCTTACTTCTATAAATATAACTTTGCTGTTGGGTATATTAAAATATATTTTATTTGAATGAATCCAGCTTATCAAGTGAGCCAGCTTACTCTGTATGATTGTCCTGTCATTATTGGTACTTCTCATTCTGCCAAACTTTGTGCTGTTTTCTGTTCCACCTGATAAACACATCCTTTTCACTAACTGCTATTTTTCGCCTGTTTGGGGGCCAGATCCTGCCATCCTTACTTGGGCTGAATATGACTTTAAGCTATGAACAGTCCCACTGACATAAAGTACTATTCAACATGATGAACAGTGGTAAACTCTGAGCTTCTAAACTGGAGCAGCGGTTTTCCTTAAGTCTGCACTCTGTTGCTAGCGATCTGACCTTCACTTCCCAGATAAACTGACTCAGACATATATCAGAAAAGGAAAAAAACAGCTTTTAACATCAACTCACCATAATCTAACACAATATTCTGCCACAAAACTATGTTACCCATAGTACCATACAAACATTAAAATTGAGACAAGTGAGTTGCATTCCTGGAATTTTTACAATAAGGCAAAACATTTCCATTATGTTTCACGGGATATTTTGTTGTTGTTTCCACATTAAAAGGGACACAGGAGACCTGGCATCTCTTAATAACATTCTAGATGAGATATTACATTTATGAATTCTCTGCAGCTGCAGTGTGAGCCACATTCCACCACCTCATCCAAAAAAATAGTTATATGTCTTAGTAAGTGCAAAAATATTAATGGGAATGCGATATATTCCCCCTTGCTCTGAAATGGGATATTTTTAGCCTAATTGCTCTAAATGTATTCTACTATTGGGGGGGAGGGGGGAGACTGAAACAAGACGCTGAGGAGAGAACTGCAAAAATATGCTCTCGCTTTCCAAACAGTGCTAAACGCAAACAACTAAACTTACATGGGATTCAAACTTGACCAAAAGTGATAAATTCCTTTCTAGTATATTTCAGATTCTTACTTTCATTCACGATTTGTTTGTTACGTTTTCGTTCATTTACAGATTCTGAGTTTAGGCTTGCTTTCCCCAGGCATACATCTGTTCATTTTTTTCCCATGCATACAGTTTTTAACATTTACACCACCGATCACGCTATTGCCAAACACCAGCCATTTTGTTTTATATCATGCTATCGCTTATAGTCTAATAATTTGCCTATCTCTCCACTAATCAAATTACGCAGTCTTTTATAAAAAGAGCCAATTCAATATATGTGTGTCTCAATTCTAATTTGCACTCCGTAGCACATTAAAATAAGGCAAAGCAAGATTTACCTGTAAAAAGTTGAAGGGGCAGCTTCCCTCATTCCAAAGCCGCTTTGATCATTTTCAAGGTAGTACGGTACTTGTTGGCTATGGTGATGAATGAACGGAGAGAGCTGGGGCGCAGTTTGTAAGAATACCACTGGGCTTGGAGGGACATTGTTCAGTGAATGAAACCCTCCCAAACTGCTGGATCCATATGATTCAGAAGTAGGGGCATAACTGAGGCTAGTAGAGCTGTACACTGGAGCAGCAGTGGCAAAATCATAAGTGGTGCCTTCTGGGTAGTTAAAAATGCCTGTCTTGTTGCTCTCCACATACATCTCACTGAGCGATCGATCTAGGGGAATCTTCAGCTGAGGTCTGCTCAAAGTCTCCAGTTCAGTGCCTTGAATCTGGTGCAGCAGAGTAACTCCAGAGGTTTTGGTGTGAAGGGTCATGGTCATTGTTAATGGCAGCGAGCAAGTGGCATATCTGTTTTTATTGTCAGCAGACAGATCAGCAGCTGGTAGCCCACCTGAAAAAAGAACAGATCCTAGTCTGAGGCTCCGCAAATATCATGTTAAGGCAGCACTGCACAGGTATTCATGTAATCTCAGCAAGGAGGAGCATACATTCAAATACAGCGTTAGCACTGAGAAAACTCTCTCCCTCTCCCTCTCTCTCCTTTCTCTGCAACTTTTAAGTACTTCTCATCTGAGCTAATATGCATTACAAAGGTGCTGGCCATAGGCCAGGAACTCTTGCCTTGTGCTGACATTGGTTTAAACATCACTTCAGAAGCAATTAGTTTTGGAGTGATACCAAATAATTGTTCTACTACACTTTACTTCACTCTTATTAGTTGTTTAATTTTTCACTTCACAGGGCCCTGATGCTCTACAGTGCTTAAGGCAAAACAGTACTTATATCAAATTAGGAAGACTAGTCCCGTGGTCAGTCAGATTACTGCTTTTTATTTTCCCACCAGGCTCCAATCTATCTCTGCTTATCTCTTCTCCCGTTTGATTCATTTTCATGTTTGCTAGAAATATGTAATGTGTACATTGTAATGACCCTGGCTAGGACTATGCTGTAACTGAGATATGGCTGAGTGCAATGTGTGTGTACATGTGTGTGTGTATGCAGCTAGTCACAGTCAGTAAAACTCCATTTAAAATAAATTAATGGATCTACTATATCTATGTAGGAGAAAAGGCACTTCAATACACTTTCTGCAATTATGATTATTCTTGTTATTTAACTGGCAACTGAATGCAAGAGGAAAAAGAAAAGAAAATCCTTTAAGATTCCCCTGTACATCTCTGCCTGCTTCTTGTTCAGTATGTAAAATCAGAGCAACATAAGCTTAAATATGAAATAAAGCATCAATTAAACCTTGCCATATTGAATCCCAGATAGCTGGTCAAAAATAGGGTTAATTATGTGAAACATGAATTGAATATTAACAAATTGAATAGGAGTATTTTCTTCCTGATTTCCTAGTGATAAACACTTCAGACACTTCAACTGAGACACCAGTTTAGAAAATCCAAAAAAATACAAAAGGTCCAATTTTTCAATAAAATAAAAATGTCCCACTTAAAGCTACATTTAAGACTAAGCAAGAAAAACAGAATTATAGTGAAAAAGTGTGGCATGCATGTGTCTTCTGGCAATCTATTTTCATTGTATTTTAACTTAACAGAAACTGTTGGTCCCGCACCAATCTAATGAAAACCTCTGAAAATTGTTGCAAGTTCTCTAGCAATGCTATTATGGTCTGTGGTTCAGTTGGTACAATGGATTGGTTTAAATACCTAACACACAAATACAGGGCTCTAGTTAACATGGCTTGAGTATTAATATAAATATAAATCATACCAAAATAACTACATGCATCAGACAACCATTTGAAAATCATGTTAATCAAATTAAATAGGGTTTAAAGAAGTATAGAAATATCTTTGCAAGTTTTAACATGATTTAGTTTCAAATCAACTTTACTATAAATGGTTTAACCTAAAGAGAATAACTATTAATATAACATATCAGAGCTTTTGCTAAACAAGAAAAAAATAACCTGTACTTGTAAGATTTCACTGAAACATGCTCGAACTCTGCATACATACTATACACACAGCAACATACACTTCAATGTATATGTACTTGATAGATTCCCCCCACTTTCTACTCCCAACTCAAATTTCAGACTGTAGACTTTGATCAAATAGATAACAATGTTTAAATAAGGCTGAACTAAACACATACCTAGTTTTTTTTTTAAAAGATCAGACAATCATACCCAGCAGTACAGAAAGTCTTCTAAGAAATATTCTGAAAATAGTGTGCGTGCATGCATGTGCATGTGCAGTGTGCATGTCAGTTTTTGCGAGGGCTCATGAAGCAAGCATAGCTCTCAGCAGCTTCCTGAATACAAGAGCCAGTAGCTGTGCTACACAGACCATAATGCATGGCAGTTTACAAGTTTAAGCTTAGTTACTGCATGCAAAGTCATTTGGCATATATCAAATACATTTAAACCACAACATTATCTAACATGATCTGCTCTTATACTGCATAATTTGAGAATTATGACTAATTTTACTATTAGGAGGGTAGTACCCATTTCTAAAATATGTACACTTGTACATGTACGGTTTGATTTAAAACACTGTATGATTTAATATTGTTTTATTTGAAAGATATGATATCAGCATATAATAAATGTTACATTGCCCTATAGTTGCAAAAACAAAAGTAACTTGACTTTTGAACACAATGCTGTGAAATTTGAATGTTTAAAAACAAAAACAAATGGCATTTTCATTCAATTGGCCATGGGGGGGAGGGGGTTAGAAAACTAAAGATAAATTCCATCATTTACAACTATTTGCTAAATGGCATTGGAAGTTTTGTGTGGTACAACAAGTGAAAACAATAGTACAGAACCCCGTCTTTTCCCCTTTATTACACTTGGTTCAAAGTCTCCATATCAGCTCTGTATAGGCGAGTGTATGGAGCTGCAATGATGGCATGCAGGGCAGGGTACAAAAGAAGGATGAAAACATGGAAGTTAAATTTACCTTTACCCAGTAACAGCTATGCAACTGATGCAGAGTATCTGCAAAGAAATTTAAGCTGTAACCAGTTGTCAGTGTTTCCTACAACACCCAGCCTACCTAGAAGGTACCTGTTCTGTTGCAAAGGGGCTTAGCAAGCCCTGACAGCTACTCTGGAAGTGAGCTTGTTACCGCACCTGAATGTAAGAGAAGTGGGAGTGGCTCTCTTCAGTGAGGATCTAGGGGGTTGGACTAAGCAACTTCTGTTGCAGGACACCGCCAAACCTGGAAAGAAGTTGCCCCCAGATTTTCTTTGTTGCAGTTTGTTTCAGGAGATTATTTTTTGAAAAAAAGTCGTTTACTTTGCAGCTGGTAGTATAGGCTCCAGAACATAAGACTGGTGAAAAGTTTCTAATAACTTGTAATATTTTATACGTTTACTTTTTTCTGTAAATCTCAAAGCAATTTGTAAAGTTGTAGGTCATATTTTACAGATAGGTGTAACACGTTTAAAAGGTTTTGTGCACAATTTTGCACACACAAAAATGAAAGACCCAGTATTTGAAACAAGGTCTTTGTGCTTAGAGGCCAGAGCTTATTCTGCTACGTACAAATCCAGCCTGGTCACTCTGATTTATTGATTCTTAGATTTCCCATCTGGGAAATATACCTAATACTCGTACTTGGCACTTTTGCTTCAGATCCCACAGTTTTTAATAAAAAAGGGCACAGTAGCCCATCTTACAAACATCCTGAAAATAATTATGTGATTTGCTAACATTTATGTGGGTAGTTTTTAAAATACAAATTGCCACTTACAGTCTGCACATTAAGGATATATATAATTAACTAAATGGTTAATTTAGCCCACATCTGCTTGCTACAATGCCTTTACTTAACTCATATAAATCAAAAGTGCTTAAAATATCAAGTAATATAAACTCTAGTGATTTCAGACCCAGTGCTTATACTACTAATGCACATTCAATTGTAGCCAAGCTACCAAATATCTTGGTGTCCTATTTCTCACATTTGAAAAAGGCTATCTTGCTATATATTTACCTAGAACTCACATACAGGACAAGACCATCTCTCTCTCTCTCTCATAAAATGTAAAGAGAATTTATTCTGAAAAGCTTCATTAGTGACATAGTGACATTAGACATTCATTTCTAAATTAAGCATTTAGATCAGTTTTTTCTAATTTGCAAAGTGTAGGAATATGCAAATAAAAGTAGTTATCATGCAAAAGTGGATAAAGAAGCTAATACAAGAACAAGTAGGGGAAAGAGAGAAACATAGGGGTACTGCAAAAGGAGAGTCAAGCTTCTGTGAGCATGTCTACACTTGCATATTAATGCCTATGAATAAACTCCGGAGCTTATCACTCCAGAGATTATTGTTTCTGGGTGTGTGTCTTCACATGCGCCTGGAATCACAGCACGTTGAACTAAGTCAGAGCAGCCCCAGCTGGCTCAGAGCCTAGGGAGTCAGCTTGCCAGTCCGGGGCTACTCCAACCTGGCTCAATATGCTGCAGAGGGGCTGGCTGTGGAATGAGGATGCTTCACTGTAGGGCTCGGTAGCAGGCAGCCCCTGCACTGAAGCACCTTCATGCCCCACGCAGCTGGGGCAGTGTTTACATATGTGCTGCTGTAGAGTTTTTTACTCCACAGCAGGGAAGTACTTGTATTTATGCCTCGCGTTTACACATATGCCTCTCTTAGGCTGCAGTAAACTAATTTACTCTGCAGCAGGATAGTACTTGTATTTACAAGGGACTTGTATTTACAAATGCGATCCTGCTGCAGAGTAAGTGACTTTACTGCAGCCTAACAGGGGTGCATGTGTAGACGTGAGACATTTACTGTGCAGCTAATTAGTGTACTGCACAGTAAAAGTCTCATGTAGACACACCCTGTAACTGCAATGTATACACTTCATTTCAACAAGAAAATCAAAGCAGAAACTAGCTATACATGTGCTGACTTTCATGGTCAGCCCAAAGCCTAATACTAAGATCCTGAAAGCAGTCTGCATTTAGATGCGTATCTTTTATTAATTCTAATTGAAAATGCGTGACTAACTCCTCTGTACTGCTTTAATATTTCAACCTAGAAGTTTGCTGTTCAAGACACTTCAGAGCTATGTGGTCCAAGTCAGTGTTTCCATAATGAAGGATTCACTCTGAACTATGCTGGATAGAATAAAATACAGAATGGACTAACTAAATACAACTTTATGGTTAAATAAATATTATTTGAGGTTCATGGATCTCTCTTAACTTGAGAATTGTATTGGCATTTTTTTCCCGTACTGATAGCAGTCCAAGCCATTTCAGGTCACTAATAAAATCTGCTGGTTTGTTTGTGGTTATCACAGTTCTTCTAACTTGTTTGATGAAAACTTATCCTCTAATTATCGTAATATGATAAACATCAAATTAGCAGCTGCATTCAAGCTGAGTTTTGGTTCTAT